CACCACGTCGGACGTGGTGTTCTACGAGGACATGCTGCTGGAGGTGTGGTAGTCAAAGAACGGGGCGGTATCAGGACGGTCGCCGACCACCCTACCGACTGACACCTCGACGGCGACGCTGCCTCTGCTCGCCAAGGTCAGTGAGCCTGCTGCTGAGGATGCCGAGGTCGTCCATCCACCTTCTCCTTCCCCTCCTTCTCCTCCGACCCCTGCACCTCCCCTCGTGGCCGATCTACGCTGGCTGACTCCGATGTCGGCCTCCGACGATGAGAGGAGTAGTGGGACGCCACCTACGGCGCCGACCAAGAGCATCGCCGGTGGCCGACGTGACGAGCAGCAAGTCGACGTGGGAGTGCAATCGACGGGGATCGGAGAGGGGCAGGTCGAGGAGGTGCAGCCGACTTGGGTGAAGCCAACAGGGGAGCAGGCAGCAGCGTGGCCGACCAAGGAGCAGTCGGCAACCTGGCAGTCGGCAAGGGAGTTGACCGCAGGTGAGAAATCAATTGGCACGTTGACCGAGGTACAGCAGGACGACACGGACGGCAGCGGAGTCAGTGGAGATGATGTGGAGCAGTCGGCCGACGAGGAGTCCACTGACCATTACGAGGTGGGGGTCCCGCCTGAACCCCGGAATTGAGGTCGACTTCGGAGGCCGCCCGACTTCTTCGTCCCCGCTGCCTTCACCACGGTGTACGACGTGGTCGACGAAGACGATGACCGGCTGTACGACGACGCCGACGAGGATGAGGAGTTTCCGGAGCTCGACCCCGACATGCTGGCCTACCGCGATCACCGTTGGGACATCTCGACGATGACGGTGAAGGAGGCGTTGGTGAGCTGGAAGGTCCCGGCGGTGAAGGCCGCTATGGAAGAGGAGATCCGCAGCCTCAAAAACATGGGCACGTGGGAGCTGGTCGAACGCCCGCCGGGAGTAAACATCATAAAGAACCGGTGGGTGTTGACAACGAAGTACCACATCGACGACACCGTCGAGCGAGAGAGGGCGAGAATGGTCGTGAAGGGCTTCACACAGGTGTACGGCGCCGACTACGACGAGACGTTCGCGCCGGTGGGCGGCTATCTGACGCTGAGGATCTTCCTCAGCATCGTCGCCGTCCTCGACCTCAACCTGATGCAGCTCGATATGAAGAACGCCTTCCTGGAGAGTAAGCTCGACCGTGTGCTGTACATGTACCAGCTAGACTACTTCAACGACGGGACTGGCCGGGTGTGCAAGCTGCTGAAGAGCCTCTACGGGCTGAAGCAGTCGCCGCTGCTGTGGTACTTGGCACTCAACGACGTGCTGGTCGGCGCCGGGTGGAAGAAGAGCCAGGTCGACGAGGCTCTGTACTTCAAGGTCGGCGACGACGGAGTGGCCTGCTGGGTGCTGGTCTACATCGACGACCTGCTCGCCGCCAGCAGCAGCACCGCGATGCTGGAGGGGCTGAAGGAACCGCTGGAGGCCGCCTTCGAGCTGCGCGAGATCTTGTCAGTGCAGAAGTACCTCGGGCTGGAGATCGTGTGCGACAGGTCGGCGAGGAAGCTGTGGCTGCACCAGCAGGGCTACGCCGACAAGCTGCGTAGGCACTTCATCGACGAGGAGCAGGGCGGTCGGACCCCGAAGACGCCGGTCTCGGTCGACGCCTACGCTGAGCTCACCTTCGACGACGAGGAGGCGCAGGAGCGACAGGAGGAGGAGTACCGGCAGAAGGTCGGCTCGCTGCAGTTCGCGGTGACGACGACGAGGCCGGACATCGCCTTCGCCTGTAGCAAGCTGGGGAGCGGTCTCACGGTGAGGAGCGACCAGCACTGGCGCGAGGTCGACTGCTGCCTTGCCTACCTCGCCAACACGCGTGACACCGCCCTGGAGTTCGGCGGTGGACCTGAGTCGCTGGAGCTGGTCGGCTACGTGGACGCCGATGACGCCGGCGACAAGCAGAGCCGGACGAGCACGGGCGGCTATGTGTTCGTCTACGGAGGGGCCGCAGTCTCCTGGTCGAGCCAGCGCATCAAGTGTGCGACACTGTCATCGACCGAGTCGGAGTACGTGGCGGCAACCGTCGAAGCCGGAAAGGAGGGATGTCGACTTCGCTTCCTCCTGGCAGAGTTCCAGCAGCTGGACGCTGGAAGGCCGACTGTCCTGCGGGTGGACAACAAGTCGGCCATCACAATCGCCGAGGGCATGGGGTTGACGGGCAACCTCAAGCACGTGGAGCGGCGACAGGCCTGGCTGCAGCACATGGTGAAGCGGGGGAAGTTTGCGTTGCAGTACATCCCGACCGCTGAGCAGCCGGCCGACTTCTTGACGAAGGCGCTGCACTATCCGGCCTTCAACCGGTGCTCCGTTGCAATCGGCCAAGTGCGTCTGGCCGACGTGGGCGACGGCGACGACGACGTGCAGCAGTAGGTGCCATGCCCTCTTGCATGGCTGGTGCGGTGGACGACTTGCTGGGTGTTGGGTGCACGTCGACGAGCTTTTCTCCGAGAAGTACTTCTGTGTGGGCTGGGGGCCCAAGCGTGAACGCGGCAGGGGAGTGTCAACGGGAGTTGTGTGTTGGCCCCGTCCTCGCTTGGGCGGAGCTGACTTCATGGTCGAGTGTAGGGGTGCAACCGATTCGTGCAGTGGGCAAGCTGGTCGACGTGGTTGGTCGACTTGCACGGAGAGCCACTCCCTGGGCGCCGACTTTGGGAGGGCGCCAACTTCGGGTGGTCGACCTGGAAAGACGACCTGCAGAGGGCGTCGACCTGGTGACGCCAACCTGAGGCAGCCGACTAGGATGGTCGGCTGACAAAACTGCTGGTCGACCTGGTTGGTCGACCAGGCCTTCTGGTCGACTTGGTTGGTCGGTCGACCAGGTGTGAGGTCGACCTGGTGGTCGGCCAAACATGGTGGTCGACGAAGGAGGGGCCGACGTCGACCTGGGCAGAAGGATTCAGGACGCCGAGCTGTTGGGCGTCGAAGTAGCAGGGCGTCAACTTGGTGACGCCGACTTCGGGTAGCCGACTTTGGGGTCGGCTGACAACTGTGCTGGTCGACGAGGAGCTGGTCGACCAGGAGTGACGTCGACCTGGAGCTGGTCGACCAGGGGTAGTGGTCGACCTGGTGAGGTCGACCGGAGGTGGCCGTCGACTTGGGAGGTCGACGGGCACATACAGGAGCAGCTGGTCGACCTGGTTGCCTGGACGACCAGGTTACCTGGGTGACGAGGTTCTGCGGAGGAGTGCGACGGTCGCCCAGGTGGTTTTGGCGAGGACGACCTCGGTGGTGGTATCCCGAGGTCGACGTGGCTGATCAGAAGCAGTCGTCAGCACAAAGTTGACGTGGTATGTGCGCTGTGCAGGTGTCGAGGTTCTGCACGCCAATCATTTGCGAGCACCTGCGAAGCAAGCGTTGGAGTTCTATCTTGCTGACATCGTCCGGACAACATTTCGGACGTTTGTTTTGCAATGTGCTCTCATTGGCAGGCGAGGAGGTTGAAAATTTCAACCAATATCAGGCCCGGATTTTTTGTGGCGACTAATATACGATGTTTGTAATGCTTGTTACATTAGTGATGTTTATAAAATGCAGAAAGTTTCATATGTCTGGTCCGGACGAACTGTTGTTAGGGAGGGGGACAATTGCACACAGTGTGAGAGCCACCTCTCGTGCTGATCTACGACGGTTTTAATCTGGCCCTACGATCTGTCCAGATAGACAGGAAATCGCCACGCCACGTACGCCTGCTGATCACCCGCGTGCTAGCATTTTCCAATACACTCCCTTGAATCCTATGGTCGAAATATACTCCCCCTACTTTTGGGGAGCTCTCTGGTAATTTACGCTCCCTATTTGATAATTTCCCCGTGCGAATTGCCACAATCTCGTTCAATTTGTCTGTTCGGTTCTTCCCACCCACCAATCCCGAAGAAGAATGCCCTACGCACGTCGCAACCATGGCAGCCTGAAGCCGTCGTTGGTGAGCATCCCGCCCGAGCCTTGCGAAGTTGTCCGCGACAATGTAACCAAATGGCAGTATTCGTCTTCATTACGTTATCCTCACTGTCCTTCACGCGCGCCTGATGCTCGCAGCTTTATTCAGGGCGCGGTGCAAAGTTGGTCAAGACAGCGTCTTGTACAAGTTAGTGTAAGGAATTTTCTCGGCATTCCTTACGGAGTCCGGCTACATCGCGTACAGCACTGCCGTTGTTCGCCCGTTACTGCTAACGGGACTTCGCCAACCTCGCGCGCACTGTTTTGCCAAACCACGCACTGCTGGCCCGGCCGTGTCGGCCTACGCTTCGGGACTAGCCCGAACCTCGCTGCCAGCGTAGCACTAGCTAGCTCGCACGCACCGCGTTACCGTTTGCATGTTTCGCGTATAAATGTTCGCTCATGCCTTCGCTCACATTTTGTACTCATTTGACACTCTAGTGCAATCCTCGCTACCTCGATCCATTGCACCCGTAACACTTGGTATTCAGAGCCACTTTCCTTTTCGGACCGCGCATCTCCGCACCCCAGGAAATCAACTTTTGATTTTTCACTCGAAGGGACGCACGCACCTTAGCCCCTAGGAGCCGCTGTCCTCGCGTTCTCTCGTAAACGCGTGCAGCCACGACTGCGCCTAGACTAAGCTGAGCCGACGCCCTTCGCCATGGCCGAACATGTCGACGTCACCACCCTCACGCAGGAGCGCTTGAATGATCTGCTGCGAAAGCTGCGCGAAGAATCCGAGGAAATCGCGGCGTTGACGGCAGAACGCTCATCCCTGCAGAATGACCTCACGAGGGCACAACAGGCACAATCTCAAGCACCTGGCACTCCGGCACCGCCCGCACCACAGACATCGCAACACGGAAGTGTGGGGCGACCCGCGAGCGCGGCTAGTGATGGCGTCGTCCGCAACGACGAAGACGACGACCACGGCGCGACACACCCCGAAGCGACGAATGCGGCCCCAAGTCAGCCTCGCGTCACGATTTCGGCACCGACACTCAATTCGGAACTGCCGTCACCGATGCCGCTGAAGCCGCAGCGTCCGCCATGCTTTGACCCGAGTCAACGGGGTGGTCCTACCGTTCAGGCGTGGTTGTTCACGATGAACGTTTTCTTCGACGCCAACTACGTCTCGGAGGATACGGCGAAGATTCGCTACGCCGTGTCGCTGCTGCGAGGACCCGCCATGGATTGGTGGCGCGTCATCGTCACGAAGCCGAATGACTACGCGACTCTACCGACACGGGAAGGACAAACCGGACCCTGGGCGCCGTCGTATTTCGTGGAGGTGCCCCAATATCGCACGTGGGACGCGTGGTGCGCAGGTCTGCGTGCCCGATTTGAGCCAATTGCGGCTTCGATCGCGGCGCGACAGAAGCTCCGCACTTGGCGCCAACTCGGTTCCGTCCAGGACTACACGAGCGGGTTTCTGGCGCTATGCGAGCAAGTGGGCTATATGCGTGAGAGCGAGCGCGTCGACCGCTACATCGGCGGCCTGAAGCACGACATCGCTCAGGAAATCCAGCTCCGCGGCGTCACCGACTTTCAGGAGATTCTCGCTATGGCGGAGAAGCTAGATTTCTTCCGCCAACCGAGACCGGGGTCCTACGGCAGTAGCAGTAACTGGGGACATCGGTCTCGTGGGACGAACGAGGGCGCTACGATACGTGCCGTCGCCGCGAATGCCGCTGCCGCACCGTTCAAAGGGCGCTGCTTCGCGTGCAATCGGCCGGGACACCGCAAGAGCGAATGCCCGGAAAACGCTAAGGGAAAGGGGGAAGCTGAGCAGCAGAAACAGACCAAGCAGCAGGGAAACGCTGGGAGTCAGTAGCAGACGGGCCCTCTACTGACAGGTCACGCCGCTCGCCCGACCCAACCGACCCTCACCGAGTGATTGTGCCGGTTCATGCAATCGACCACACTCGGCCGAATAAGGAGGGTACCGCGGTAGACAGCCCCATACTGCTTAGTGGGAAAATCGGGACAGACTTAGTTAAGATATTCGTAGACGGGGGAGCCAGCCACAGCCTCATCAACACTGCCACGGCACGGAAGCTGAAACTGCCACTGGACAAATGCTTACCTGAGATCGACGCAAGACTGGTTGACGGCACGCCACCTGCTAGCAATACGGGAACGCGTAGACCGGGTTCGGATTCGATGCGGGGGTAACTTCACGTTTAGCCAGGAAATGCTCGCAACGACCCTCGACGGAACCGACATTTTACTCGGTCGGGATTGGTTGCGACGACACAATCCGCGAATCGACTGGACGACGGGTGACTGCACCGTGCGAGTGAACGGTAACAACATCGCCTTACCTCGCTGGGGCTCGCCTGAGTCTTCGTCGGTGCGTGTCAACGCGATCACAATGAAGCGCGCCGTAGCGGCAGGAGCTGACGTGTATGCGGTTGACATTCGGGAAGCCGAAGCAGCAGACCAGGGGGGGATTTACAGAAACTGCTAGCCGACGTACCGGATGACCTGGCAGCACTCCTGAAGCGGTACAGCGGGATTTTCCCAGATGACCTGCCAACGGGACTGCCACCTCAGCGACCGCACGACCACAGGATAGAGTTAGAGCCGGGAGCACAGCCGACAGTACAACGACAGTTCCGACTGACCCAACCCGAACTGGACGAACTGAGGAAGCAGCTCGATTACCTGCTCGAGAAGGAGTTCATTCGCCCTAGTTCGTCACCCTTCGCCGCACCGATACTGTTCACACCGAAGAAAGACGGAGGGTTTCGCATGTGTATCGACTACAGAGCACTGAACAGGGTTACCATTAAGTCGTGTTACCCCATCCCACGAGCCGACGAACTGATCGACCAACTGCGCACAGCCCGGGTTTTCTCGAAAATCGACCTTAGAGGGGGTTACCACCAGATTCGCGTCAATCCGCCCGACTGCCCTAAGACCGCATTTCGCACCCGCTACGGATCCTTCGAATACACCGTCATGCCCTTCGGACTGACCAACGCCCCCGCCACTTTCCAGATGACGATGAACGAGGCATTCCGCCCGCTTGTAGATAAGTGCGTCATCGTTTATCTCGACGACATACTGATTTACAGCCCCGACAGAGCACAGCACCTACAGGACATTGAAGCAGTTTTTAAAATACTGAGTGAGAACCGCCTACTGACAAAAGCATCCAAGTGCGAGTTTCTACAGGACAGACTGGAGTTTTTAGGCCACATTATTTCAGCTGACGGAGTGGAAATAGACCCGAAGAAGATCGCGACGATTCAGGCTTGGCACGCGCCGACAAATCTGACTGAACTGCAGAGTTTTTTGGGGTTCGTCAACTACGTGCGTCGGTTCGTCCCCGACATGGCGCAGCTGACCGCCCCGCTGACCGACCTGCTGCGGAAGGGGGTTGAGTACACGTGGGGGGAGAAAGAGCAAGCTGCCTTCTCGGCCCTCAAGAAAATTTTGTGCTCGCCGCCCGTACTTCACATCGCCGATCCGCACCGACCGTTCGAGCTCGTCACCGACGCAAGTGACATCGCTGTGGGAGCAGTACTGTTGCAGGATTTCGGGAACGGCCTCCAGCCAATCGCGTACGAGTCCCGCAAGCTGCACCCGCCCGAACGCAACTACCCGATACACGACCGCGAGATGCTGGCGATCGTGCACGCGTTCAAGGTTTGGCGGTGTTACCTGACTGGCGCCGACGTGACAGTACGGACAGACCACCGATCACTACAGTACCTGCGCGCCCAACCGAATCTCAATCCGCGACAGATCCGCTGGTTGGACTACCTCGAGTCCAACTTCTACTATACAGTCACTTACAAAAAAGGCGCATCAAACATCGCCGACGCACTCACCCGCCCTACCGCCCAACTCCATGCCATCCTACTCGCCCAGACCAACCCACTTTTAACAGGCCTATTCACCCACGGATACCGCACCGACCCATTCTTCACCACCGGAAATTCACAGCAACTGGCAGAAGCCAAGGGAGTGTATTACATAAAAACAGGCACCAACCGCATCTGGGTACCCGCGTACTCACTACTGAGGGAGCTGCTACTGCAGGAGGCACACGACGGGATTACCTCAGGTCATTTCGGGGTAGAAAAAACTGTGGTGGAGCTGTTGACCGACGTGCAGCAGCACGTGGGCTCGTGCCCCACGTGTCAGGTGATGAAAAGCTCGAGGAAGCGGAAGGCGGGTCAGTTGCAGCCGATACCACCGCCCGAGCGAGCCTGGCAGCAGGTTACCATGGACTTCGTCACGGGGTTACCTTCGAGCCCCGGGGGTAACGACGCGGTGATGGTCGTCGTAGACAGGTTGACGAAGATGGCACACTTCGCTGCGTGCAAGAAGTCGATCTCAGCCGAAGAAACCGCTCGCCTGTTCATCGCAGCCGTTGTTCTCCTAGTGAGATGGACTGACCCATGTTATCATCTTTTAGTATTGATTTCTGCGTTTCGTTGATTTATTTACCTGGTTAGAATTTTTCTGCAGGAACAAAAGGCTCAGCTATCACGAGCATGTTTCCAGAATGTGAGTACATACCAGATGACATGAAACCAATACTGGATTCACACCTGAGGCGGTGGCAGTGAATGCTGTTGAAGTGCTTACTACCTGGATGGAAACAACGAGAAGGCAAGGTCATTCGCCGTATTGCAAAAAAGTGCTATGTTAGCAACTAGCAAGCACAGCAAATCTATTAACAGTTTTGTATTTCATAATGAATCTTATTTAAAAACTAGAGTCTCATCTCATTCTGAAAGCTTCTAAAGTGCTTGAAGAAATATTGTTTTGTAGTTTTGAATAGTTGTCACAAATGCATGACGAGAATATATCTCCCTTCTGCCTGTTTGTAGCTAGGGGAATTGCGTTGTGTGCTTGGCTGCTTAGTAGCGAGTCCGACCATCGGACGGCTCAAGTCGCGGTGGTTGCGATCGCAATCTACAGCAGCAAGGCTCCTCTGGTCCCAGCTCAGCATATCCAGAATTCCACCGCACTAGCAGCACTGAGGACACGTGTACACAACTACTCTACTGTATAGTGCTGCTGGGCTGACGTGACGAAGGACACCTCAATCGCGCGAATTCCTACAATCTCATTCGATTCGTCGTCCGATTCCTCTTACCCACCAATCAACAAGAGGGATGCCCCACCAAATGGCTCTTCGCGCCATGGCAGCCCGCCCGAGTTGACTCGTCGTCAGCAGGCACCCTCCCCTTGCGAAGTTGTGCGCGACGATGTAACAAATCCGTCAGGTCAGGATTTGTTCTGAGAACCTTATCCTGGCGAAGTAATGCACGACGCTGTAACAAAATTGTCAGGATTCGTTGCCTGGACCTTATCCTGATTGACATTGGCGCCCACCTGATGCTCGCCCCTTCACACGGTCAGGGACTTCTAGATGGACTGGATTTTCTCGTGCATCTCGGCATTCTGTTATTTCACGTATGTTACACTCAACCCCTTCGTACTCGTTGCTCATCAAGCAAGCATGAATGGCGGCGATATCCGCAGCGTTTTTAGCCCAAATGTAGTGCCGCCACTTGTAGGCCGGCCTTGTGAGGTTTTGTGATGATAGCCCAGCTGGATGCTATGACGGAAATATCGGATTCGAATGCGGTACGCTGGTAACAGAATGAAGGAGTTTGTCTTTCCTTCGCATGCGCTATCGTAGAACTTATGGAATTTGTACGCGTACTTCCGAGCAGAATCTTGATCAGCCTGATGCCGTTTTCACGGGTGGCTAGTTGCACGGCTGGACCATTCATCGGCGGGCGGCCTCTGCCAGGTTGGCGTTGGCGGTTCGTCGTGTTTCTCTCTCGGTCTCCGTATTTCGAGTAGGGTACCGTATCCAGCTTCTGTACTTTCCTTCAAAGTCTGTCCGAATGCGTTCTCACATCGCAGATCATGTGATGTGATGCCAGAGCGCACGTGGGTACGACAAAATCACGGGGGTACTGTGACCCTACTACACCTGATGCTCGTTAGAGCCCCTCCCGGTTGCCTTGTGAAGGGGGACTGTAAGCTAAAACTACATTTCGTCGGTTTGTAGAGGGTTTCGTCAGGCTTTGCGCGTGCATTTAACGCGCATATGGTAACCACCCAATTTGTCTGTTATATAACAGTGTCGGTTGGCTCTGGTTGTCACAAGTGTGTGTTACCGAAATCCTTACGAAAACAATACACACCCGTCAATCAGTGACAACATTTGTTCAACTTAGATTGAAACAACAAACACACCAAGACGAGCTAATCAGAATCCACCACATCGACATTACCCCCCTCGAACGAAACCATCCCCTTTACTGCAAATGTGCCCGTTATCTGCACAATACCAGCAAAGTACAACTGCTTCAAAACTCCCCGACTCCCATCTTAGAATCCTGCTCAAGTGTTGAGAAATCACAGCTCACACCTGCATCCACTCTGCCGCCTCCACATACCCGCCCATCGCGGCGCCAACCCCGCCGTCCAGAAGCTGCTGACGGCGGGACGGCTGGGTCATCCAGCCAGGCAGCACTCGGCCCCGCGGACGCGGGGCCTCAGTCGGCGGGGTTGGGCTCGTCGAAATCCTTGGCGGCGGGGCCGTAGAGAGAGTGAGCGCGGGGCTTGCGCGCTCCATGCGCTCAATGATGATCGGATTTCGGATGTCAAACAGGTGGCACAGGTCGCGCGGGGTCACGTTCACGGCGCGGGCGTAGCCAATAAGCATCTCACTGGCCGCCCGTGCCGTGCGCCGCGCTTCACGGCCGATGGGGTCGTTGTCGTCATACACGGCCTGCACCCCAGCACGTCGCGAAGATTGGGGCGCCAGCGGGCGACTGCGCTGGTTGCGCCGTCGTCATTCCACAGTGCAGTGAAGGCCCGCAGCCAGTGCTGGCGGTAGCGGGCCTTCGCGGTCGCGATTATGCCCTGGTCGAGGGGCTGCGTGAAGGAGGTTGTGTTCGGCGGCAGGAAGATGAGGCGCACATTGCTGAGACAAGTGGTCCGCATGCCGCAGACGATTTCGCTCCACGCGCACTCGTCCCGCAGCATGTGGGAGCTTGCATTGTCGAGCAGCACCGCGATGTGCCTCCCCTCGGCATACATCACCGCATTGAGCTGCGATATGAAATGCGTGAACAACTGTTGGATGGGAATGGAGGGAGGGTGGACGGCCACGGGAAGGGGGGGGGAGGGGGGGGGGGGGGGGGGGGGGGGCAGTATGAGCAACGTTGTCACGACTCCGTTTAAACATCATTAACGCAATGTTAAACAAAAGCAAACACGCGCTAAAGCACACGGGCGGCCAACACTTACCTGGCTGGTCATCCAGCCCTTCGCGTTGTGCCGCCAGTAGCACAGTGCTTCGGGGTCGTAGTCCGGCCTGAAGTCGTGTGGACGGCGCGCCTTACTGATGACTAACGGCCGGAAGACGTGGCTCCCGTCGGCGTTGACGAGGAAAGCCACTGTCAGGCGGTCCTTTGAGACCTTGCGCCCGGGAATGCGCGCGTTGCTGTACGTTTTACGCGGCAGCACGGAGAGCCACAACGCAGTCTCGTCGAGGTTGAAAGTGTCGCGCGGTTTGTAGCCGAGGTGAGTCAGAAGCTGCGGCACCTTCTCACGCGCCTCACGCACAGCCGCCATGTCGGCGCTCGCCGCCTCGCCGGTGGCGGCACGGCATCGCACTCCCTGGCGCCGCAACGCACGGCGAACCCAGCCAATGGAGCAACGGAACACGGGCGGAATGCCCATGTTGCGCGCCATCCTCTCCACGTGGTCGTGGATTGTCTGCAGAGTGAGTGGCACGCCCGCGGGGCCCGCGTTAGCGATCCAGCGCGCCATGGCCTGCTCAAGCTCAGGCCATGCGCCGCCCCGGCGCCGCACCTGATTGGGGGCGTTGGGTTCCTCCAGCGCCCAGCGCTCGGCATTCTTCAGGATGCGGCCGACCGTGGAGCGGTCAGGTCGCAGGCCATACTGGGCGTAAACCCAGCGGGCGAGATCGACGTGTCGCAGGAGGGGATGCTCGACGTGATGCGCGCATAATGCGCGCTTGATGAACAGCGGAAGCTGCTCGCGGCGATTAAGCCGAGGCATGGTGAGAGGCTAAGGCGGATGAGATTGATGCTCTTGTGAATTTGCTCGTCAGTTTATAACTTGTGTTTGAGACCGCGATTATCCAGCTCTGGGGCCCGTTCTGTGTGACGGGGGTTGAATTGTGTGGTGGTGGTTCGTTACATGCACCCTGCTTACAATTTCAAACATGTGGTTGGGTTACCACCAGAGTTATACTCTGACGTGGGCTAGCCGAACAACGCCTGGTTGTTAAGGGGCTTGTACCCCACAATTGAGGATTACACGTGGCAGCGTGCACCAGGCCAGATGTCTGTTACACGCACCTTGAAACTGGCCTAGGTGGCGGGCCAGGTTGTGCGAATGCACTAACGAAGGGACTTTCATTTCGTCCAGACGATTCGTCAGGTTGACCCCTGGCCTAAGAACAAGGGAAATCCTGGGTCGGCACCGCTTGTTGTGGTCTGCACGTGGGTGGGAGGCCGGGCCGCGTGCACTGTAGAAGGCCATCCAGGTGCCTGTACATGGGGTGCAGCAAGCAGGGGTTTCGACCTCGGGGGCAGCGTGTCCATCCGGTGCATGGCAAATTCGCGTGCACTGGTCGGGCATCATGTGTACCAGGGAACAGCTACTTGAAAGTCTAGAATGGTCGCAGGCGCACGGATGGTCCGCATTGCGGCTTTGCATCCATCCGTGCGCTCCGCCAGCCTGTTGAACAGCAATACCCCATGGACGGTCCAAGATCTGCTCTGGACCCGCCGACGAGGGGCATCGCGTAGTCCCAGCAGCACCATACCATGTGCGTCGTGACGACTGTCTTCGCAGCGGCCGCTGGCGGCTCTCTCAATCGATTCCTCGGACGCTGTTACTGTTAGGACCCCCCTCGCTAGTACTTCTAGAAGTGGTGAGTTCTTTTTGTGTCAGCGTCTTCAACTGTTTCCTCAGGCTGTTAGACAGCTCGACATTTTAGTCGTCTTTTTTCTTTCTCTCCCTCTTGTATTTCCAAGTACTGCTGCCATGGAGCTCCCTAACGTGCCGCTGCCTTTCCTTGACTTGCACTGCTCGCCGGAGTGCGCTGCAGACTGCGACGGAGTCCACATCTCCTGGAAAGTGCAGGAAACTGGAGGGGAGGTGCAGAAAACTGGGGGAGCGGCGGCTGGATGGGAAGCAGTGGGTGGAGGCAGCGATGTTGATCCAGTGCCGGATGAACAGATTGTGATGTCCAGCCCCGTTGTGACGTCCAGTTTCACAGATAATTCGATGCCGGTGACTCCCTGCTACGGCACGCACAGCGCTGCGACGGAATCAGTGTTAGGTGATTCGTTCAAGGTGGAAGGCTGGCCTGATTTTATGCCGTCAATCTCTGAGTCCCAATTGCTCCATGTGCGAGCCCTGACAGATGTCAGCATCTCAGAAGGCGGAGGACACGTCAGCATGCTGACTCAGCCTTCACAGGCAGATCGGAGTTTCACGGAGATGGCGGCAGCAGCTGCTAGTTCAGCGCCTAGTTTATCCCATGGCGATATTCACTCGGTGGTGATGACTTCAGCTGCTTCTGCGTTGCCCATTCGCAAGCCGCTGCAACATTCCATGGCGACGCCGCCTGCTGCGGCCCATAATCAGATCCACTCCACGCTGAACACTCATGCTTCCGCCGCCGCCGCCGCCGCCGCCGCTGCTGCTGCTGCTGCTGCCATTGCCTGACACTGTGCCGATCGCAGCTTGGCAGTTGCAGTTTCTTGGACAAGGAGCGTCTTTGTCGCTGAGATCAGCGCATGTTCAAGCAACACCAGCGCAAACATCAGAAGGCAGCACCCGAGACGGGGCCCAACCAGCAATCCGTGACGGAACCTCAGCAATCCGTGACGGAACCCCAGCAATCCGTGACGGAACCCCAGCAATCCGTGACGGAACCCCAGCAGTCCGTGACGGAACCCCAGCAGTCCGTGACGGAACCCCAGCAGTCCGTGACGGAACCCCAGCAGTCCGTGACGGAACCCCAGCAGTCCGTGACGGAACCCCAGCAGTCCGTGACGGAACCCCAGCAGTCCGTGACGGAACCCCAGCAGTCCGTGACGGAACCCCAGCAGTCCGTGACGGAACCCCAGCAGTCCGTGACGGAACCCCAGCAGTCCGTGACGGAACCCCAGCAGTCCGTGACGGAACCCCAGCAGTCCGTGACGGAACCCCAGCAATCCGTGACGGAACCCCAGCAGTCCGTGACGGAACCCCAGCAATCCGTGATGGAACCCCAGCAGTCCGTGACGGAACCCTTTATGACATAATTGTGTCGGGAAGGTTCAAGCGCAAGGGTTCTTCCAGCTGGTGCAGCGATGATTCAATAGCGGAGACCCCAGCCAGCGTGCAGCCTCAGAAAATGCAAAGTTCGGTGGGTGGCGATGGACTGGGTCCCAAAGGCTCTCACAGTGGAACTTCTAATGCAGTATCGCTCGCTGCTGGCAGTCAATGCGACACCGTAGGTCTAGACCCGCCTGGGACAAGTATGGAGCGTCCCGCTCCAATCCCGGCCGTTGGATCCACTGTAGCCAGTGTTGGTGCTGTTGCTGTGAGCTGTCCAACTTTTGCTGCTACTGAAGGGGCAGCAGGTTTTGATCCATTGTCGACGTGGTCCGCTCTGCAAGCAACACAAGGGGCAGCCCTGCCTACATATTCCACGCAACCAGCCCTTAGGGACCAAGCTGATGGCAATGGACTGGGCTTGCAAAGGCCGCCTATTCAGCGCAGAAGTGTTGCGGAGAAGCTCAGAAGACACCGGATCAGGTAAAAATGCTGCTTTGCACCTTTTGTTTCTAATTGATGACAAATTTTTGTCAGAAGGTTACAAAGTTGTCCCTTTTTCTGCCACCTTTAATTTTTGCAGTGACGGGTTCAAACGGCTTGAAAAGGCTCTGCCTCCCTTGTGGATGCGCCAGAAGCATCAGTTAAGTCTGTCATCTCGAACGGACATGGCGTCGCTGTTGGATGCTGCGGTGGACTTCATTAGGGAGCTGGAGGTGAGGACAGCCTGATGTGCACAGCAATGATTTGGTGCTTGTTTTGCATATAGTTGTTGATATCCCGTTTTGCACAGCTGTGGTGGTATACAGGACCGAAAGGCCCAACTTTCACAAACTTATATTCAGCAAGTGTCAGAATTTCAGCAATGACTAGCAGGACTTCCATTCCATGCTCAATGCATCCTTGGTCAACAGTAGGTTGAGTGGAATATTTTTCCGGTATGTGAATTTTGTTTGGTTGGCCGGGGCTCTGATCTGAATGGTCCTTATTGGATTTTGGAAGCACAGAAGTATTGCACTTTATTATGTTTCAGTTAACCACTAGGTGGTTCAGAAGTGCAGTGTGGTTCTGAACCCCTCCAGGTCGCGTGCATGCCGTCATTCATGTGCCGTGGTTCTCATCTCAGTCTTTGTGCAACTTGCATGATTCCTGCAATTTTTTTCTTAAGACATCTGTCTATTGTTGTAGCCTTTAATGATGCGTGTCATATGGGGTACAGCAGTTAGGGTTAGGTTTATGTACCCCAACCCACAATAGTCAACAAACATATCGGTTTCTGACATGCCATCACCTAGGTTAGGATCCTGTGGGATCCCGTTCCTCCTGTACCCTAGCGCCCGTTGCGCCCGTACCGTCCCCTAACGCCTGTCACGCCCGTCCCGTCCTGTCCTCTTGCGCCCGCTGCGCCTCCCTGCCCGTCTCGTCGCGCCCTGCCCCTCCCGCCGCGTCGCGCCTGTCCCGTCCCGTCCCCTCCCCTCCCGTCCGTCGTGCCTCTGTGCCTGCCGCATCGCGCCCTGCCCGTCCCGTCGCGTCGCGCCAGTCCCGTCCCCTCCCGTCGCGCCTCCCTGCCCGTCGTGTCGCGCCCTGCCCGTCCTATCCTGTCGCGCCCGTCCTATCCTGTCCCCTCGCACCCGTCACGCCTCCTTGCCCGTCGCGTCGCGCCCTGCCCGTCCCGTCGCGTCGCGCCCATCCTGTCCCGTCGCGTCGCGCCCGTCCTGATTTGTCGCGTCGCGCCCGTCTCGCTTCTCTGCCCGTCGCGGCGCGCCCTACCTGTCCTGTCGTGTCGCGCCCTGCTCAGGCCTTTCAGGCGCCTAGCAGCAATAGCTCCCTCCCCTCCGCATCAGCTATGGCGGCGCCTAGGGTACTGCGCTTTGATGGTGAGGGTAGGCCGCTGCAGTTCTCTTTCTGGCTCCTCCATGCGCAGGGCCTGCTAGAGAGTCAGTGTCAGGCTGACGAGTCCCTGTGGGCGCACGCTTCCGATGACCGTCGTGCGCCCTTGTTCCTGAACCCTTAGGCGCTGACCCCACCACTACGAACAGAGATCGTTTTGCACGTCAGCGTGCTGCCCTAACTGCCTGGAAGTTGTGCGACGCTGCGACCTGCATCGCCCTCAGCAGCCTCCTCCTTGAATCTGAGGAGACCCACTTCACCCAGGTTTGCACGGCTAGTGAGTTCTTGACTACAATCAAGGCCCACCACGCTACTCCCACCACTCTCTCCCTTGGTCGCCTGTTCCTCCCCTTCCTGTTTCCTAACCTCGCCTCGTTTGAGCGCTCTGCTGACTTGATCACTCACCTGTGTTCACTGAATTCTATATATGGCGCTGCCTGCACTGACACACAGCTTGCACCGCTCTCCCCCCCCCCCCCACAATGACGATTAATATCTATTTCATCGCCACTAGACTCCCTGACTGCCTTGCCTCGGTTCGTGACGCACTTCTTCTCAAGCACCCTAATGAGCTCACTATCGGCGTCCTTGAGTCTGCCCTCAAGGACGTCGAGAGCAACCTCCGCTCGGTAGCCTCCGCCTCCCCCCCCCCCCCCCCCCCCCCCTGTTCCACAGGTGCACTGTCCCTCAGCTGCCTACCTTTACTGCCTACCTCGCCACTTACGCTACTAACGTGACCGCAGCTGCCGTTACGACTTCAGCGCAGTCTAGAGGTAGGAGTGGCAGGAGGGGCAGCCAGGGTGCGGGCGGCAGCGGAGGCGGGAGTGCAGGAGTTG